CTTACGATGGCCGCCCTAGGTTTACAGCCTCTACAGTTCCCCCTCCCCCCATCACGTGAACAAAATTTGGGCATTTGACAATCCAACTGTCTTTAGACCATTCCCAGGATGCTGCAGCAGTCTCCCAACTATCTCACCCCACTGGGTCCCTGCAGTCCCAAACCCTTCTTCCCACCCCCAAAATGACATCCACTTCCGGGACGGCACCGCGTGGTCGCCACTGTGTAGGGAGGTGTGTGGTAGAGAAGCTGCTTGCCGAAGGAGATCTATCAAAAAGGTAAGTGGCCAAGCTGTGATTGAGGATGGGAAGCAGGGTGTTGTAAACAGTGTGGCGGGAAAGCTGGCCCAAAGCCAGTGCAGACCCAGTGAGGCAGGAAAGAAGGCCTAAGGCCTGCAGGAATCCAGGGTGGGAAGCGGAGAATGGGCTGCCTGAGGGAATATGGGAGTCCCTGAAAGGCTTGGGAAGCTGGGGGAGGTGCTGCAGTGTAGGCTTGGGCCTGCAGTAGATCAAAGGCAGAGCAAAAATTGGGGTCGTTAAGTGAGGTGATCATATGGGTGCTTTTCTTAATAACTATCATGACGTGATGAAATGGGCAGGCTCCATTATGGTCATAAGTCAAGGACTATCTGTATTTACTATGAAATAAAGTTCACTATACAGAAGATCACTAGCAAATCTAGTAACAGTTCATAATCTATGGCAGAGCAGTTCATGCTAGTTTGCTAATGTTTAATGCAGGGTTCTCAGGGATTGAAACTAAAGCTATCTGCATGTAAAACATGCTCCTACCTTCTTAGCTATAGTAAAAAAAAGTGTGGATTAGAGAAGGAAAGTAATGAATACGGAATATACTTTTATGTTTGCCAAACCAGTTTCAAAAGTTTGGCAACCTAGTGTTTTTATAGTGTTTAGTTAAAATATATGCCAAGTTATTAAATTATATAATTCTTTCAGAATCATATAAAAATACTTAATATCTGTTTCCAAATAGTATGTTCAAATCACTTTGTGTTGGAAATATCAAACAAGTTATATAAATAAAACTAGGTAAAAGACGATTAAAGGACAACTCAAATTTTAATATATTGAGTGTTAACATCTATTATCACACTCAATTTCTAACATCTTTTTTTATAGCTATAAACCTTGTCAGAATCAGGCACATGCGCCATGTCTTGGAAGAAATACTCACCCGTAACCGATGATCATCCATTGTCCAGATCCTACTGGCATAGTCATTTGAAGCCGCTAATAAGTAGGAACCCTATGGAAATGATTTTTAAAATGTTTTCTATAATAACCATTTTTACAATCTACAATTTCTAAGTAATTTTGTTTCACATTATTTTATGCTCTTATCTCAATCTATGCCATTGCCTAATCTTATCACTTCATTTGTGGTTTATTTACAAGTTTTTGAAGCTTCATTACCTTTACATATTCTCCCCTTCTTGTGAACCCTGATTCCATTTTTTCCCTCCATTATCTTCCCATTTATTTCCCTCATCCATTCTTTCTCCCATTCCTAATTCTTCTTTTTGTTGCTAGTGTCCTGTGCAGATGTTTTGCTTCATTAAGAGGTCTCAGTTTAAAAAGCTGAGCTCATATACCCATTTACTTGCCTCCAACACTTAAAACTCCTTTATTGTTTTATGTTGGATAATAATTTCAGCGGTGTCTACTCAATACTCTACAAGGACACAAGCTGAATATATCCCAATGTATCAGCAAATACTCTCCCACACATAGCATTTCTATAGCTTGATGGAAGAGTAACTGCTGGGAGTTAGATGACTAGGGAAGCAATATTCTGGGCAAATCAGACCTTTTACTATTCATCACTGACCTCAGCAAAACATTGTTGCCCTGTCTTGTAGAAGTAGTACAGACTTAAGTTATATGCTTCGGCATTATTAAAAAAATAACCTGCTCAGGGTTAAAATACATATACCATCTATATTTACAGGCAACAGGCCTAACTTTTTCAGGTACTTCCAAAAGAAAAAAAAGAATAAAATATTGTGTTACTAAAAAGATGACAATTTTATACCACTTCTCAGCAATTGCTTAATTTTCCAGATGATCTGTCTTTTAATGTACATTGGTATTACTCAAGGAAGAGGATGGGCATATTGGAAACTATGGGTTTAGAAAATTTTGAAATCAGACATAAAATTAAAACCCAAGGCTTTTCTTTTAGGGAGGGCAAATAAACAATTAGGGAAAACAAAAGAATGAAATTTTGTTTCTATATGTGACATCAGTGGCGAGGTTACTATTTGTCCAAAAATGGAAAGAAGAAAATATGCCCACAACGGAAAATTTTTTATTTATTTGTATTTTTATTTTTTACAAATAACTCAAGGTGACAAACATATGCAACAACATTCCTCTTCCTATTTCCCCACAATAATCACCCTGTGAGGTAAGTTGGATTCAGAAGATGTGATTGGCCCAAGATCACCCAACTGGCTTTCATGGCTAAGGAGGGATTAGAACTCTGCTTTCGAGCCTGGTGCCTTAACCACTAAACCAAACTGGCTTTTGAAAGTAATGGAGCCAGTTGAGATGGTGAAATTGACTGCTTTGTTTAGAGAGAATAATTTGATGAAATTTCTTTTGACTTGGAGACCACTGTTAGCTTACAAATCAAGGGGGGAAAAAAAATCAACTGTTGACTTTGGAATTTGAGGAGTGGATTGAATTAGAGAAATATTGTAGCTTTTTAAATATAGAATTATTCATATTTTACAATTCATTTACCTTTTGGATTAAAATCAAAAGATGAATATTTTATAACTATGGTTATTTAAAAAAAGTTGATTATTGGTAAAACACCAATAATAAACTTTTTAAATAACCATATTTAAATACCTTAAATCAATATCTAGCACATCTCTTTTGATATTTCCAGAAGAACAGTCAATATATATTGATACCAATATCAATATGCACTGTGCAGCAATTCAATCCTATTTCTTTATTTATTTTTATATTGACTGTTCTTCTGGAAATTCCATAAATGATGTGCTAGTGAAGCAGGGCAGAACGTATTTGCAAAAAAGAAATACATCCATACTCACAGCATTATCAAACTCTACACTAGTAATCCCTGCATTACTGCCAGATAGGGCGGCTTTAAATTCACACTTATCTGTAATACAAAAGAAAAGAGTTAGGAGGCAAGAAAAAGCATGAATGCATGTCAGTTTCATTCAATCTAGCTAAGAAACATATCTCAAAGATATAAACCACAGAACTGATCATTTAGAATTAGTAATACATCATTTCTATTTCTTGATTGATAAAACTGATTTATATGTAAGGCAGGCTGTAAGGCTCAGTTCCGATTACTCTATCTTATGATGCTACTCTTCAGAATTTGGGCACAGAACATTCTTTTTCCCAACCTTACATCCTTCTAATGGAAATGGTAGGGATTATCCAACCAAGATTGTGCTGCATCAGTAAACCCATATATCTTCTATTGCAGGGGTGTCAAACTGCTGGCCCGTGGGTCAGATGCGTCATGGCGAAACCATGCCCACTCCATTGCCAGCAATGGAAAAAAAGTTGTGATTATGTCGCGACATGTCACGTGACGTTGCGAGTTTGACACCCCTGTTCTATTGTCTGAACAGTTTTGGAAAAGATATTTTATCTCTCCAATGCATTAGGGGATTTATTTGGGGATTCCTACATTAATTTCTTAGTTCAGAATTGTAGCTACCTTTTAAAGATATCAACTACAGAATCAAACTTGTAAGCAAAAAAGCATGTGTCCATGAATTAAAACCTCTTGTCTTTTTTTATCTGTAGTTCTTTACAGGACTTACCACCAAAAACTTCCCAAATTTTGACTCTCCGGTCCAAGCCTCCTGTTGCTAATAAACGAGATCCAGGGCTGAACTGGACTGCATTAACCTCCCCATCATGTGCATCCTAAGAAGATGAAAAACAACACGGAGACAACAATTATTGATGATTTCAGGACCCAGATCTGTCAGCCTCTAGAAGCATACATTAAAAAAAAAACCGAACGAGACTCTAACAAAATAACAAAAAAAAAAGTCTATCAATTCTTGAGTTTTTCAGTATACATTTCCTGTTTAAAGCTATCTATAAGAAACTTTATGACACCCAGTTTGGTTTAGTAGTAAGACATTTGGTTAGAAATCAGGGCACTGTGAGTTCAGTCCTGCCTTCGGTATGAAGCCAGTTGGATAACTTTGGGCCAGTCACTTTCTCTCAGCTCTAGTTAGAAAGCAATGACAAACCACTTCTAAAAATGACTGCAAGGACCTTTCTAGGCAAGTTGGAAATAATTGAATGAAAGAAAAAAAAAAACCTAAATACATGTACAACCAAATCTTTTTTTTTTTTAAATCCAGAATAAAGGCCTAGGAACTGTTTTTTGGCATCAAAGAATTCTACTCCTAAAATGCTGCATTCAGCTTAATACTGAAGAAATGATAAAAACTACATGTTGAAAAGCAGTCAAGAAAAGAATGGGATATTAGTAAAACAGTAAATCTGACTATTAATATATCTGAATGAAAAGAAAAATAATTTTGCATTTATAAGATTAAAAGGTAAAGGTTTCCCCTATCCCAGGAATAGGCATAGCTGGCTCAGGAATTCTGGGAGTTGAAGTCCACGAGTCATAAAAGAGCCAAGGTTCCAGCTGACAAGTGGCTGAGCCACCGCGTCCCTTTTATAAGGTAAGACAATTATTAAATTTGTATTTATGTCTCTATGTTTGTGTGTATTTTTGCTAGATTGTTTAGTACTTGTACATTATGAAGTGATTTTACACTGCTTACATTCTAGAAATGTATTTGATAGTTGTTGTTTATTCCATGTCATTCCTAAATCTATTCCACGTATATGGTCATTTTATTTAAATAACTTTATGCCTCTAATTAAAAAAAATTACTACAGAAGTTAAAAGTAGAAAAGCAATACTGAGTCAGAAAAAAATGTATGCAGGAAATAAAGAGGTCTCAGCTTGAAAACTAAAGATCATGCACGTTAAGAACACATTCCAGAACTGCCAGCTCCTTGACTGGTTTTGTTGGGAGAGAGTCAACTCTAAGTGCTTTCGACTGCAAGCAACGTGAACTGACGATACCCACATAATGTCAGCAGCTTCATAACATCTGTCAGCATTAATGGAGCATGGATGGAAGAAAGAAAGAAAAAACTGTTGGGAGCTCTGGAAGTTGTGGATGTGCAATTTCACTAGTGCAATCAGACCTTTCATTAATCATCATTGACCCCAGTATTTATTAGAATTTCTCAGGTTTTGGCTGGTATAGAAGGACCCCATTTCTTGTTGCAAAAGCCACACTACAATTCTTTCCAAAGTCACAAAAGCCCCTCTATAGCCATGTCAGGAACATATAGCATCGGATCAGAAAAAGAAAGAAATGGTTGACTGAACATGAAGTAAAACGTGAAGCACTTTACATGTTTACACTGCAAAGTATCACACAATAGGAAAACTACTCAGTAAAACATATTAATTGTTTAAGATAACGCATCCTAGACATACTTACAAAGACACACACTGCTATGTTGGGTAGTCGGACCTCTCTGCTTGCAGTAGGATGTACATCAGTGTTATCTTGAGGGATAGGACATGAGGATAAAGAACGCCTCCTGAGAAAGGTTACATCAATATGCAAATAAGTACATAGAGGAAATTAGCTATGTCTCCAGATTATAGGCAGGGGGATGACCTCAACTACACAATAGGTAAGAATGGAAAGAAAGGCAAGGAGTCTTAAAACAAATTCAAGTATTCAACAAAAACAGGGAATCAATACCCAGAAATGGTTGTGCATATTAGGGACTCCTCTATAGCCTTTGCATCTAGTTTCTCGTGTGAACCCAATTAACTGCATAAAAACTCCTTATGCCAGAGTGGGGAAAAATTTATCAGCTGTTGCACTGAATCCCAAATTAAAAATGTTTGCGTTGAAGAACACCAATATTTATTTATTTGTTAAGTATCTGCTACTATTTTAAATGCTTTTTCCTATACAAGGTAAATCCTATTTAGTTGCAAAGATGCATAACCTATGATTTAATTTAAAACTCACATTTCATTATTAACAGAGAGCTTCTACATAACACAAAAAAATAATTAAAATGACTGGGCACAGCAATCATGTAGATTATGTCCAGCATTTCTTCCCTAAGTTGTTATACCTCAAGCATCCACGATATCTATGTATTATTTAACTAGAATGTCTTTTCAATGTTACAGAAACAACATGAGACAATTATTCAGCAACCCTCATTGCATGCTAAAGTTTGAATAATTTCAAGCAAATTTTCACCTGGCAGTATCAGAAGAGTGATGTCCCAAAAGGGGAGACTCAGACAGACTGGAGGGAAAGATCAGAGGTCAGCACACAGCAGAAGTAAGGAATTGAACACAAAAGAAAAGGAGAGATAGGAGCTAGAAGAAGGCTTGACATAAGAAAAATTGTTTGCATGCCTAGTATCACTGTGCTGCTATATATTGAACTAATATGTAATGAAAAGGTAAATGCATAACAACCTACCCAAAGATATTAGTGATAGAATCCAGAAGGCCTCCAGGGGGCTGGGAGAGTCGCTTACTAAAGAGAAGGGGAGGACAGTTTTCAAGGAGATCAAAACACACAAGCCCATAACTCTCAATTTTGAAGCCCCACATTCAGCAAGGAAAGCAAATGATAACAGGACAGCAGAAAAAGCCACCAACTTGGTTCTAAGTCAAAAGCTTGCATAACAATTACGAACTGAATACCGTTGTTGTATGAGCAGGAAGAAAAAGGTTTCCCAAAAGATATAATTCACTGGAATTTTGAGAATAAAATTAAAGGTGTACTTATATGAAGGCAGAGCATATTTCCAAGCATTCTCATGACTAATGTGATGGTTGGCCCATAATAATGGCCTTTTAACAGGGAAAGTAAACATTTTTGCTGTTAAGCTAGTTTAAATGGAAAGACTTTAAGTTCTGCATGTTTTGTTTGCAGATTCAGTTACAATATAGAGTTGGAAAGAAATTTGTCTAAGAATCTATTATTTGCAGTTGTCACCAACATTAGGTGAGCCAACTGTCCAAAAAGGAAACTTTTTATAAAACCTACAGAGCTAACTAGCATAGCCCTTAACATTTGCAACCTTTGTAATTTTGATCTTGTTAATATTTACACAGAGGATTTGAGTCTCCCTTTACTATTACCATGACAAGGCTCTGCTATAAACAAACTGAGAATGTTGGTATAAACCCAGCTCTTGAAAGCTGAGGGGCCGTTTCCTAACTGATAGAGCACATTTAAATTCAAGGCTGCAAAAACTTTATTTACATTGCTCTTCCCAGTGTCAGGAATAAACACTGCTATGATAAAAAGCAGATGTGGAGAGAAAAGGAGAGACTCCTTCCCTATATTTATTTGTTTCAAAACATTCCTAGCTAATGATACTGAAAAGTAGACATTTCCACAAAAAAAGTCAGTAGAAATAAGATCACAAAACTATAACTACTGGAGTGTTTCCTATAGGCATAATTCACTAGCTAATTTTCCCATTTGTATCCCATTAAAAATAAATGGTAGCTAAAAACATCAGCTGTGCAATTTTCATTTTATTACAATAGGGCATATAGCTGATAAATTATTTTCATACTGGCATCTGTTATCAATTAATTTATCATTCATCTATCCAGGGAATAATTTTCTCAATACGTTTGCTTCTCGAATGAACTTCCTGAATCAAATCAAGAATACCTATGAATTTTTGCCCCACGTGAAAATATTTCATGAAACTCTTTGAAAAACATGTTTTCAAACATCTCTGCTCACATACTACCTTGATGTCCGTGTGACAGCACGAACTGGAGATGTGTCCTCAGCTGGATCGGAGGTTTCATCAGCAAGGACTTCAATATCATCATCTCTGAAGAAAGACAGACCATTCCTTGAATGTTCAAGAAGATCAGGCATTTCATATTAAACAGCCCTCTTCCCCTACTATATCAAATACAGAATTTCACTACCATTTTTAATAGCACAATAACTGAACAACAGAATTAGCTATGCCATGGCTGTAATTTATTTGCCTTTTACAATTTTTAATCATATTTAATACAGTTTGTAAAATGAAATTATTTGTTTGAATGTGGCTTGTTTGCACAGTTAAAATATAACTATTTCTAAACAATTTGACAAAGGGGAATAGGATTTTTTTTTTACCCGTGGAATTCCAGCAAAGGTTGCATTCATGCTATTGTATAGTACTTGTGATTTCAGCATTTCCCCTTCTTACTATTCCCTGGGATGGGATGAAAGTTAACTCTCAGCTCTTCAACAGAGACAATCAAAAAGCCAAAAAGGAAACAAAAAGACCAAAGCACCTCCTCACTAGCAATCAAGACCCAGATGAGCAGAGATTAATACACAGATTAGCATTAGACCAAGAAGCAAACAATACCTCAACCAACTCAGACAAACAAGCTAACAATAAATGACAGCCAAAGGAACCATCAAGGCCACTCCCACAAATACTGACAGAGAAGCCATTGGTATATAAAATGAGATCAAACCCCACTCCGTACTAGCATTGATGATATTGCCTAGTTCAGGGGTAGGCAACCTTGGCTCTTTTATGACTCGTGGACTTCAACTCCCAGAATTCCTGAGCCAGCCATGCTCAGTTGAAGTCCACGAGTCATAAAAGAGCCAAGGTTGCCTACCCCTGGCCTAGTTTGATAATGAACTGTCTGCAAGAAAACAACAAAGCTCAGAGACACCAAGGACTCCACAGTCTCAGCCGTAAGGCTGGTGCAGTTCCTGGTCATTTTTAAGACTGCCAAAGTAACAAGGTGGGTTTGGATCCAAGCAGCGGTGGGATTCAAATATGTGAACCACCGGTTCTCTGTGTGGATGCCACTTTTGGAAGTCCATTTTGGGCCTGGGCAACAAAAAATTAGCTACTGGTTCTGCCGAACTGGTGCAAACTGGCTGAATCCCACCACTGGATCCAAGGTAATAACAACAAGCCCCCTCCAAGCATTATCTGGCTGCAGATACGTAGAATACTCGTTCAGCAGCAAGTATTTTAAAGCTATTACCAAATATTTGTATAGTTATTCTTCATATGGGAGTGCCCTCTTGTAAAATCAATCATAATAAATTAAGTTAGGGTCAGGTGCGAACAATCAGTATCACATTAAATAGTGCTTAATCCTACACTAATGGCCAGCACTAAATTGTCACTAGATAAGAATTAACAGAATTCAAGGGGGGGGGGGGGCTGGACTTGGATCATTGAGGGAACGTAATGATTCCACATTGATTCCTCTCTTGACTTCATCCCCAGGCTCTGCCTTTTATTCTTCTATAGATAGGCAGGAATAAACTTGCTGTACTTTGAAATAATTTTAGAATTGTATCAATCTTCTTAAAAAATAAATTTAAAAATAAAAATAAACTTAAAAATAAACTCAAATAATTAATTCTTAGCCCAAACAAATTCACTTAGTAAACAAAGCAATAAGCTCAAGTAAAGCAAAGCAAGATAAGTTCTGTATAGAGTAATTTCTAAACTAAACAGTCAGATGCCTACGCAACTGTTTAAAGGAAAATGTTTATGGCTGGTTAATCTGATGTATTGCTAATCAGTTCTTAATTCCCAGATCCTTTCACTTGATGTAGCCACTGAATTTGTAAGGAGCGTATTAAGCTCAGAAGGCCAAGATAAGACAGCAAAATAAAGAAAAACAATCTGAGTCAACAGAGAACCAATAAAACTGTTGCAAATTGTAAATCTAAAGTCAGTAAATATCAAACGTTACAAAAATTAAGTTATATAAAAATAATAATTAAAGTATTGCTGAAAAGATATGACTTTTTTTAAAAATCAGAATTTTAGCTTGGCAGAAAAAATCTAACCCTATTAGGTTTCTGTTAAAAAAGATGAAAACATTTATGAAGGTGAAGGTATAAAATCCAGGCTTGCCCATCCAAAGCTGCTCCTAATAAATAAAATAGTCACCATCTTTACCCCCCCTTCTCCAGTTTTGTTGCTAGTAAAATTAGGATTATCTGACCACACGGTTTATAGCAGAATGCCAATGAATAGTAAGAAGATAAACAAGCATGCAGCTTGAATAATTAATTTTTATATTTTCAGCTTGGAAATGGAAATAATGTAGTCATTAGGAAGTAGTTAGACTGACGAATGCTTACTGTTCAATTGGCAGTGGTTCTTTAGCAGCTTCTG